TATTAAAGCAAATGACTAAATGACAAATGATTTAAATGATCATTAAATGACCTTGGTCATTTATCATTTGTCATTTAGATCATTTGCGAAATGACAAATGCTAAATGATTTAGGATTATAACAAAGGAATAGACAAATCATTTGAATGGTCAAATGACCAGGTCATTTCTGAACACTGACTAAAATAACCAATAGAAAAATAAAATCAGCAAGATATAACAGATTGATTTGAACCAGAAACTATACTGTTTTTCAAAAAATGTTCTATTATATATATTCTTGTTTGAATATTTGTATATTGTAGTATTTTTTTCTTAATTATAAAAAATTCATTTTTTCTTGAATTTTACATAAAATGAAACCAGAATATATATCTCCTATAAGTAAATCAAGAAATAGTATTAGAGTCAATTCTTTATGTTGCTTAAATGTTATAAGCGAACAGATAAATATGTGATAAGCAGAAGGCTTAATTTATAGTTGAGATTAGGTAAAATATAGATATCGGTAGTTTATTTAATATATATTAACAAATAAGTACTACCTTAAACATCAGCGCTTCTTTATTGTATAAATATTCTAAATAATCAAACTAAACTAATATAGACTATTCTATAAGTTTTTACTTCAGTGAATTCTGTAAACTCCCTGAATCTCCAAGAATTCTCAACTCATATTTATATAAAATAAAATATATATAATCGTTAATAATATTAAATAAATAAACTAAATATAATTAATAAACTAAGTTAAATAAATAAATTAAAGAAAATAAATTAAATAAATAAACTAAGTTAACTAAATAAACAAGGTAGACGATGTAAATGAGGTTAACAAGGTTAACATAATTTCTAAGGATCTACATTAGGAAGATCATCCTAATGATTTTTCATATAACAATAGTAAGAATTAATAAGAATATTGATGAAATTATCAAAAAATCAGAAAATTTAACTCTTAGTCATTTTTTATTAAATTTAAAATTTTATTTTTTTAATTTTTTTTATTAATATCACTTGATGAATGTACTAATACTATTGATTATATTTAATATTTTTAAAAAATAATTTTGCCAAGCAAATTATTAAAGGTTATAATGAAATTACAATATATTTTAAAAAGTTTACATTTTGGAGAAAGTTTATTAAATATTTAGGATGCATTTAAAATATATTGTAAATTAGATAGACATTTATATATGAAGCTGCTGCTTTAATTTCAAATTTTTGGATTGCTTTAGAATATGTAAGTATATTTAATAAAATTTACAATTAATTTTATTTATATATAAAAATAAATTAATGATTAATGATTATAAGTATTATTAAATGATGCTAATAATATTAAAAATAATTTTATCATAAAATATATTAAAAGTTCATCTTTTTTATAAATATTAATGAATTAGTTCAAGTTTTAAAACTAGTTAAAATAGCAATAATTTTTCTTGAAATTATAAATACAAATCTTGCAAATTGTTTTCTTCAGTTATCTTTATTAACTAATATATTAATAAATTTCTACTCTAGAAATACTAAAATTTTGACAATATAGCATTAATTATATTTAATAAATATTAGGAAAAATTTGATCCAAATATTAAGATATTAGTATATTATTTATATCTAGCTTATCATGATTAGTATATTTTAAAATTAAATAATATAATAATAATATAAAATAATAATAATTATAATTATTTATTTATAGTATATGGATTAAAGAAAAATATTGTAAAATAATTACTATTATAGCAGCACAAATTTGAAAAAATAAAGGTGATGATAAAAAATCTTAGTGAATTTATTAGCATAAATGTGTAATTATAAATTAAATGTGATTCTTATGATTAAAATTTTAAAAAACAAATTAATGTACTAATGAGATAGTGATTTTTATCAAAAGATAAATATAATTATTTTTGTAAAATAGCAATTATGATATTTCTATTACCCTAATAATGCAGAATATAAAAGGATTTTTTCTATTCTTAGTTAGTTATAAAAAAGATAGCAATATTTAGGACTTTTGAAATTTAAAATAATAGTAAAAATACATTCATTTTATATTTCAAATATCAAACATATGATTGTTTATATTGAACAATAACTTTTAAAGAGTAGTTATACAAAATGATTAGGATTCAATATTTTTACAATTTAAGAAAGGAGAAGAAGAAAATGAAGAAAATAATAATATAGTTTAAAAATTCTAATACATAAAGTTCATATTTTAATAATTACACAATTAGTTGATTTAAAAAATACTATATAGTAAATGATAAAAATAAAGATGATTTAAGTAATAATATAAATGATAATAATAGATCATTATAATAATTTTTCTCAAATTGCTTTATTTTTTTTTATAATTATTTTGAAAATAGTTATAAAGAAATTTTTTATTACGAAAACCATCATCTTCTTTTTTAAATCAAATTTCTGAGTTTTTTGTTAAATATATTCATTTTAAAATTGAACTAATGGAATTTTTTCCATTTAAATTATTAAAAAAATAGATAATAAAGAGTTATATTTTTACCTTAAAAAGAGTTACATATACTTTAAAAAGAAGTTATTAAGAAGATTATAATAAATTCAAGAATTAGGATAATTAATGAAAAAACTTCATAATAATTATAGTGTGTTCTCAATTTATTATATTCTGAAAATATGAAATAAATTTTCTCACTATGTTCAGTCAATAAAATTTTCCTTTTTGATGTAATTTTTCTTTTACTTATTTTCTTTTGTATTTTCAAATTGTGTAATATTTTCAGATTTTTAATAAAATCCTATGTTTTATTCTTTTGCTTATACTTGTTTTAAAAGCTGCTAATTACACTACTGACTAAGTTTGCTGAATAAGCTAGAGGATTTTTTTACTTGCCAAAATGTTGAAACTTTGCCAAAACTATATTAAAATCATATAATTATTTATGCTTAAACTATGGTGGTGAAATACCAAAATCATATTGAATGCAAAAAATGGTTTCACTGAAGCTAATTGTAGAATTTTGACACTTTTGCTTTCACTTTTATTCTTTTTAATTCAATTATATTTCATCATATATCATCATTCCACATGATCAAAATAAAATTCAAATAAAATTTACAAATTTTTCAAAATCATTTTTCAAAAATTAAAATATTGATAAATATATAAAGAAAGTAAAAAAAAAATATGAATTAAGACTTCATTCATACCTTTATGAATTAAAAAGGATATTTAAGCATATAACTTAATTCTTAAAACTTTTCTCAATATTAAATTCAGATAGAAGATTTTATAGAAATGACAAATATAATCAAAAGCTATCATTTTTTTTACAAATTTAAAATTTAAAAGGATGATCAAGTGTATATCTCAAATCATAAAGCTTTTTTCAACATTATATTCAGATAGAATTATTTGAAATATCAAATATATAATTTAAAGCTATCATTCTTTTACGAATTAAAAAGGATGATTAAGTGTACCACTCAATCATAAACTTTTCTTAACGATAAATTCAGATAGGAAAATAACGAAAAGAAATCTTCAGATAAATCCGAAAATATCAGAGATCGGTTCGATTTCGGTTTATTGCAGATAACATAGCAAAATAAAAATTAGTAATATAATTTTGATTTGGCGCAGTTAATTGGTTAATTTGACTATGCGACCAAATTTTTTTTTTTTTTTTAAGTTGTAACTGCTGATTGAAACCTGGATGTTCCATTTTATATTTATCGTCCTTGTAAGACTTAGTACGCACGTTAAAATTTAAGTTGAAAAAAAAATAAATTTGACAAAGAAAGCTCCTTTTATGTTATTGTAACAACCATTATATCGATCACAACTTTTTATTCGTTTAAATCTGAATTTGTATAACAACGAGGTTCAATTCTCGCTCGTATTCAGGGGGTCTAGCTTGCAATAGTTGAATATTCATTCTTGTGAGACATATTAATACTCGAATTAGTGCTTATAGTACTCGAAAATTACTTTGTTGCAACGATGAAACCTTGAAAAGTATGTCATACGGAAGCAATCGGAAATCTTCGTTTCTGGTTTTTAGACATTGCCAACAAAACATCACAAAATGTTATTTAGTCAACCAAAATTAGATAAAAGTGACAAAATGTTCTGTATGATACACCTTTGCCATATTTGTGCAGCAATGTATGTCGATTGAAAATCACCATTAATGGAAAAATTTTCCGGGTGCGCCAAATAGTGTACAATTGAAAAAATAAATTTATTTTAAAAAATTTAATATAAAAGTACGACAATATTTTTTTAAAAAAAAAGTAATAAAAATCACCTTTTATAAATCAAGCACTTTTCCAACGATGATTTCAACCATTTTATTTGATATTCCAAGCATTCTCATTAGTGTAGGAATAGGGATAGTCACATATGTAGCGTATTTTTATTTCAAATACTTCACACGTCCTAACGCGATTCCTGGTCCAATTCCATTACCGTTTATAGGGAATCTGCATCAATATCCTGGAGACATGTCAGCATTCTGTGAAACTTGTCAAAAAAAATATGGCGACATTTGGGAATTCTACCTTGGACATCCAAGCGATAAAACAAGAGGAATCGGATTGGGTAGAGCGGATTTATTAGAAAAAATTTATACAACAAACTTACAAGAATGTAATTTCATTTTACGCACACCGCCAAATGATGGATTAGACGAATTTGGTAGCACGTCAAAGGGATTATTATACAATAGAAATCATGATACGTGGACATATTATCGTAAATTTTTTAATCGAGCTATTATGTCACCAAAATTTGTTAGGCAAGCTATATCATGGACGGAAGAAATATTTGAAGAAGTGGAAGGATATTGGATGAAACTTGGTGGAGATGATGAAATTGAATTAGATTTGTCCCAATGGTTGCTTAGATTTACTACCGATGTCATCTTTCGCATTACGACAAATAAAAAAACTAATGCATTAGCAAATTACTTTAATAATAAATCTCCAACAGAAAAGATTAACTTGGATGCTACAGTATTAAAGGAGTCTGAAGACTTTATTAAAAGAGTTAATGATTTTATTACAAGTATGCAATATTTCTTGTTAACACCAAAATGGTTGCGATATTTCCCTGGAGGATTTAAGCAGACAACCATGCGATTATTGAAGGAGCGGGATAATATGACAAAAGATTTATTACAATTGGTTACACAACGAAGAGAAGAAATCAATAACACTCCTTTGGATGTATCACTTACTCCTGACATGCTTACTATGTTCTTGACGGTTAACACCGACAGAGATATTACTGAGCAAATTGCCAATGAAAGTAATACAGAACCGATGTCTGATGAAGCTATCGTTGGTAACTTTATGGAAGCAGCTGCTGGAGGTATAGATACTACGGCAGGAACACTTTGCTTTATCAGTTATTGTATGGCTCGTTACCCTGAAGCAAAGAAACGATTATTTGAAGAAATCGACTCAATTATTACAACCAATCAAAAATTAACTCACGAAAATCTTAATAAATTGACATATTGTGATGCAGTAATTAAAGAAGTCTCACGATTGCTTCCAGTAGTAGATATTAATTATCGGATGAATACTAACGATGAGAATTTAGATGGATACACCATTCCTGCCGAAACTCAATTCTTTATAAACCAGAGGGGTATAAATAAGCATACATTTAATTGGACTAATCCTGAAGAATTTGATCCTGATCGTTTTATTAATAGTCAAGATAAAAATTTAACATTCCAATTTGGAGGCGGCGCTAGGATGTGTCCTGTAAGTCATCGATCCTGTTTTCATTTTATCTTTTATTAATTTTTAAAATATGTTAATTTTTTTTTTTTTTTTTTTTTTAGGGACGAAATTTGGCGGTCATGGAGTTGAAAGCATTTATGGTTTTGTTGTATCGAAAATATGACGTTGAATTGATTGAGAATACTCCTATGAAAACTCATTATACCATCGTTAGACATTGCGATGAATTAAAAGTTAGGATCAAAACTAGAAAATTCTAAATGTAGTTAAATAAAGTTTGATTGGTTTGTAGTATCAAAAACAAAGTATATGATAATTTGCGCAAATGAAATAATAAAGCAATTTTTATTAAATATTTATTAAATTATTTAATTTATTTATGAATTCATTGCATTGTAAAGAAATTTTAAATGACTTGCATATCCTAGAGAAATGTGTGACAATGTATTTAAATTTCTAAAAATGCGCAATCCTTTTTAGATGAGTGCGTATAGCCTAAGCTTTACATCAAAGAGCATTGAGATTTGATTAGATTTCTGTTTAAAGTTAAGTGACTATGCATTTTCTAAAAACGCTCCTTGTTCTGTGGTTTTAGAAATACTTTTTTTATGTGTTGGACTTTTTTTTTAACAAAAAAAAAAAATAATAAGGACATAATGTTTAATTGACCAATAATAATGTTTTATTTTGGATAGCCTAATTTGATTTTATACTTCAAGTACAATTACATATTTTTTTAGCCTAAATCATTTTAGAAAAAAATTTATTTATTATTTATTTTCTTTACTGATCATACTTCATAACACATGACTAAAGAAAAAATTATTAAATACATTTAACATAGACAACAACACCAATTAGTAAAGTGCCACAAAGTGTTTGTTACGGCATTTGCTTGTGATACCGTTTCATAAAAAATTTAAAGTATTCTGAAAAAGAATAAATTCAATAAACTCCAAAATATTAGTGCCAAATATAGTTAGCATTATAAGTTTATTAAATATTGTGTTCAAGATTAATATTATGTCATGTTTGATGATTTATATTAGTTACATGACTTACAACATGAAAACTTTTTGTGTCCCGTTGTTACCTGTAAAGAATTTTTAAATTAATTGATGTTACGAAATAATTATTTATGCTCATTTGGTCACAATATTAATAACGATCCCTTATATTTGACTTCCTTAAAGCACCTTTAATGCGTCATTAACTTGCATGTGAAAGCAGACGTACCATACGGTATTCAAATTCATCATTTTGATGTCTGACACAAGAATACATTTAATTTAATTTTTAAATATACGTTTATTTTAATTTACTTTTCAAATATATTTGATTCAAATGTTCCATAAAATAAACATGTTGGATTAGAAGTAATTCAAATTTATAAGCAAATAATTATAAAATGTTTACGCTATATTAAACCTTTGACCTTGGAGATACAATATAACGTCAGGATGTTTCCTTATTACTGTATGTTCTAATCGGTAATCACCGTGTTCCATATGAACTAATACGACACTATTGTTGTTAAATTAATAAAGCGGCTTTTTTGCCCACTCCAATTATTAAAAAAAAAATTGATTATTTCCTTAGAATTAAAAATATTGAATTTTCTAAAACCAATAGATCAGAGATTAAGTGTGGCTTTTCATGTACTGTGATATTCCAAAAAAGTGCTTTTGAAATAAATTTTTTTTTATTTATAATTGCCTTTTTCAACATATGGCATAAACTATAAATGATCGTTCACATGCATTAATCACATCAAAAAATGTAGCCTGACAAAGTATAGGTTAGAAATTACAAAAACAAATAATAAATTTTTTTATTTTTTAAAATAGTTGTTTAACTTTGCGAATCAAGTAATACTTGAGAAATTTCAATTCCCTTTTCACACGCAAGATATTTGAAAATTGTATGAGGAAAATCGTTAAAATTTATTATTCGCTTAACGGAATTTGCTGAATGTGTTTAGTTTAAAATTTTCTTTCGGATGGATCGAATCGGTAATTTAAAATCCTATCTCCGTACATTTTGCAATAAGAGCCTAACAGATTGTCACACGGTTTCATAAGATATTCATATTAACAATTACTTTTGAATATAAGTTATTTTTATAATTCAAAGATTGATATATTCATCAATTTGTTCATTACGCAAGATTTAATATCAACGTTAAGACTCAAATGCCTTTCATACCAACAATAAAAACAATTCTGCATATTCAATTACAAATTACAAGTATAAGCGAAATTGCAAAAGGATTTGGAATTATTTATTAAGTTATGAAATCATTGCAATAAGAAATTCTTAAATTGCTAATTTAGGTAATTCTTTAATATTACGTTTAAAGAACATTTATTAAAATTATTTCTTTTTAAATTTTGTTAAAATGCTTGCATTATTATTATAATTTAGAAAACCTTGCGAAAATAATTTGCATATTAAATTTTGTTACAATTTTTATAATTATATACAATTAATAAATTTGATCAATTATGTAATGAAAAATAAAAACCATTTATTTTGCTTGCATCAACAAATCTGCAATGAAATAAATCTTATTATTAGAATAAGTTCATAAAAATAAAGATTACAATAAATACATACCCGTACGACATATTTGTTGTAGTTACCGCAATTTTATGATGTTGTACAAAGAAAATTAAGAAATGCAATTTCTTGCGAAATGTCCTTTTTCTCCGCACTATTTATACAAGAAGAAAATTGTTATGTATTCTATAAAAATAAAACAATCATAATTTTTAAAAGAAACATTACATTAAAGCAGAAAATATCTTTTCGAAGATAAGATGTACGATTTTGAGCGCGAAATACTTTCGACTATATAAAATAAAATTAATCGTAAAAAAAAAAAGATAAAACAAAACATTAAAATAATTGGATTTTCACCATATTGTCCTTGACACAATTCATCATCCTATACTTCTCTTTATTTGGTAAAAATAAATCGTGATGTCCGCGGATTGAAGCTGCTTTAGGACTAGCGAATTCAAAAATATATTAATGAACGATAAGTTAAAATTTTTTTTTTTTTTTAAAAAAAAAAAATAAATAAATTACTTACTGTCCATTAGGACAATTAGAACCGCGAGGACAAAATCCGGCCAAGTATAATTGACAGGCAATTTGTTTTACATGTTTCCTAAAACATGTTGGCCCTTATTTAGGTAAAAATAATAAGGTAATATAAGATAAACATGCTTGATCTTTTTCAATTTAAAAATGAACCATGTGAATGCAATTTTACCGTTTTTACAAAAACCGCGGTCATACCACGAGCATTTCTCACAGTCAATATCATTATGTGAATAAATACAATTTGGTGAATTACAAACTCCATGTAACGTATAATAAACACATTTGGGCATTCTAGACAAATTATATTCGTGCAAGTAATCGCATCGCTCATCTCCTTTCATACATAATCCGCGTAACCAATGTTTGCATACGATAATTTTTCTGATCTTATGTTGGTATTTGCAAGTTGTATCTCTAGTACAAGCTCCTTTAAGATAATCTTGACAAATTACTTTAGGTCTTCTTGCAATATCTATTTTATTTTTTTAAAAAAAAAAAAATAATATAATGATAGATTCTAATAATTTAAATGATTTAGAGATCTTTACCGGTTTTCTTTCCAAGACCTAATTCATTCTTGATAAATTTTTCAAAATCAAATGTGTATTTACTTCCGTCATTATAAAAAAATTTTTCGTTCTCTGAAGCAACCATTTTAACTTGATACGAAGAGAGATGTAGAAGAAAAGTTTAAATATAATTTATGGGTTTTCTTGTATTAATAATAATCAATTATGATATCAAACTGGTGCTTAAAATAACGTCACTTGTCAATAATATTCAATGAAAGTATATTGCGATACCACCGCAGTAAACAGGAATAACTAAATATTCTATAAACTTTTTTTTGCTTAATTCCTATATTCTCCATTTAAATCTTCAGAATTATATTATACATACTTAATTTATGTTATTTCGAGGACGTAAAGCACGTGATTTATGTCATTTAACCGCAGTAATAAATGTTTAATTTTTAACAATGAACTTGTTTCTTCCTAAAAAATTAATTTTTAATTTGAAATGGGACGTTCCGAGACCCAGATCATACATAACAGATAACATGCAATATTAATGAATAGAAAGAGTTTTTAGCCTTATGATTTTTTTTAGCGTTAAAACTTAGAACGAAAACAAAAAACCCCCCAAAAACCACTTTTCGCGATCATATCCAGATTTAGGTTAGGAAATATCTCCAGAAATGTTAGTTTAACAAAATTAAAATCTTTTGGTTGGTTCAATCAACGCAAAAAAAATTGTAGAAAATAATGCTTTTTTTTCTACAATAAAGTTTAATCATCATTGTAACCATGATATAAAAAAACAACATTATATAATTAATTTTTAAATGGTAAAAATAATGATGAGAAACAACATAAAATTATTTGACATGAATTGACTTTATCAAAATTAAGTGATGATGTTTTAAGAGTCAAATATCAAAATTTTCCTGTTAGCATCATAATGCAATCTATTCTGTAACATTTTAAAGAGAACTAGTTTACTAGTAAAACTTTTTCAGATTCTTTCATATCTGGATATCTTTTTATGCAATAAACTAAAGGATCAAGTTATTCTTTGTGATATTTATCAAAGATAAGCAAGCTAATAAATTAGTTGCTTTCTTGACTTCTTGATTTCTTTATTATCTTCATTATCAATTTATAAATTTCGCGCAATAATGGAGCGATTTTTGTAATTTCCAAGTTTATAGAATTTCACAGTATGACTACTTATTCAATCAATTATAAATTTTTTTTTTTTTGGTTATTTCTTCGATTTGTGTTGGGTTTGGACAGTAACAGTAGTAACAGTATTGTTTATGTAATTTGTGCCAAAGATTCAACATTGATGCTAAAATCAAAAGGTTAAATTCAGCCTATATTTGGATACAACAAGATGTGATTTTCATGAGTTAAACCTTACAAAGAACAATACAAACGCATTGTCATGAAACGTCATTGATAAATAATTGTCGTTTCACAGGAGAAAAAAAAATATATGATCGGTCAATCACGCTCGCTCAAAAAAAAATTTTTTTTAATACCCCGGTGTTATTTGGTATTTGGTACAGTACATTTTTTTTAAAAAAAGAAGTGGCAGGGAGTCATTATTAAAATAATTTAAATTATTTAAAAATGATTGAAGAGGTTGAAAAGACTGATAGTAATATTTATTTTCAAATTTTTATTAATCAATGTAAATCAATAATTAATATTGTCTTTATAATTTAGTACCTCCAAATCCAAAACTCTTGGACAAATGGACACAAATGGATGTTAAGAATCATTTTAGGAATCAATATGTTTCAAAAATGCGTCAATATAATATTACACATTATGAATTGGAAAGTTTTTTATCTCAAAAATTAATCGGAAGAGATTTACTTTACATTTCATTTGATGTAATTTATTCTTTTGGGATGAGTTATGGTTCAGCTAGGAGGATTTGTGAAGAGCTTGTGAGATTGAAACGTATGCCAATAATTAATTCTTTCTCTTTACAAAAATACTTTCTTTTTTTTTTGTTTGGTTGTTTATATACTACATATTATTATTTATTAAATCTTTTTTTTTTTATTTTTTTAGAAATATTTCAATCATAACCTTGGGAATACTCATTTAATTTTTTTTTCACCTTCAAGAAATGAAATTGTCTACCGTATAAGTATTTATTAAAAAGCTTAAGATATCATGTATTAATTATCTTATCTTTATCGAAATAAATTGAAATGAAAGTTCGTACATTCGATCATGATATTTTTTAGATCACATTAAGATATTTAAATGCATGTTTTTATATTGTGTATGACTTCAACTCACGACATCTACTATTTCAATTTTGAAATTTTTGTGAGTAATAATAGCGTAGAGAAAAAATAAACGAACGATTCTTTAATTTTAGGCGCAGCAATTCGTGATGGCACAGAAGTTTATTACAAATTGATCAAGATTGTTGCAATTATTTAAAAGAAGCTGCAACCTTGCAAGCTTCTTATAAAATTATAAATTTTTATCAACATTAATTTCGGTTTTGTTAAAATAATTAGATAATGGTATCACAATCAAAAAAATATTCAAGGTTATTAACGTTAAGCTTCAATTAAAATTTTATTTGGTGTAACTCATCAATTGAGGTTAGATTTTTCTTTAACCGGTTCGCAAGCATCCAGATTTAGCAATTATTTGCTTCATCGGGCGTGGTTGATCGATGATTTGCGGTTATGAAGTGGCTTAAATTTTTTTTTTAAAAGAAAAAAAAGTCTAGCAAATATAAATAAATATATAATACCTCATAATCTCATAACAATTTCTCTCCCTCAAAAATTTCATTAATGATTTCAACAGTTTTCGACCATACTTATAATCGTATAGCATATTTTTATAACAAACATTTCACTCGTCCAAACTTAATTCCTGTCCTATTCTATTTCCATTCTTTCCATTCATCGGAAATATGCATCAATATCCTGGATATATGTCAGAATTTTCTAGAATGTGTCAAGAAAAATATGGCGACATTTGGGAATTCTACCTTGGACATCCGAGCTATAAAACGAGAGGACTCTGACGGATTTAATAGAACAAATTTACAAACGTGTAATTACATTTTACGTACACCACCAAATGATGGATTAGACGAATTTAGTAGCACGTCAAAGGGATTATTATACAATAGAAATCATGATACTTGGACATATTATCGTAAATTTTTTAATCGAGCTATTATGTCACCAATATTCGTTAGGCAAGCTATATCATGGACGGAAGAAATATTTGAAGAAGTGGAAAGTTATTGGATGAAACTAGGTGGAGATAATTATGGTAATGAATTAGATTTGTCCCAATGGCTGCTTAGATTTACTACCGATATCATTTTTCGCGTTAAGACGAATAAATGAATTAATGCATTAGCAAATCTTATCAATAGTACATCTCCAAAGGACAAGTTTAACGTGGATGCTACTGTATTATTGAGTCTGTAGACTTTATTAAAAGAGTATATGATTTTATTACAAGCATGTAATATTTCTTGTTAACTCCAAAATGGTTGCGATATTTCCCTGGAGGATTAAACAGACAACCATGCGATTATTGAAGGAACGGGATAATATGACAAAGATTTATTACATTTGGTTACTCAACGAAGAGAAGAAATCAATATAACTACTTTGGATGTATCACTTACTCTTGACATGCTTACTATGTTCTTGACAGCTATAACCAACAGAGATATTTCTGAACAATTTGGCAATAAAACTAATATGAACCGATGTCTGATGAAGCTATTGTTGGTAATTGCTGGAGTTATTGATATAACTTCTGTTATATCAGTTAGTGTTTTGCTCTTTATCCCGAAGCAAAAAAACGTCTTTTGAAAAAAATTGATTCAAAATTTTCACGCGATCAAAAATTATCTTATGAAAATCTTAATAACCTTCCTTATTGTGATGCAATAATTAAAGAAGTTTCTTGATTTCATCCAACATTGGATTTTAATTGCCGTTGAAGCCGTGATCCGTAGCTGCGGCGATCAACTGATTTAGTTGAACAAATATGACAGATTGGTCGATGATCCATATTTATCATATTAGTCATATTTATTGCATTACTATGAGTTTATTTTATATAAATAGCATGTATTTTCTTTTGAGTTGAAAGATAACTCGAAATAGGGTTTTGTGAAAAACAAGAGTTCAATAAAGATATTTGTTATTCACTTAATATTAATTACCTTTTGCCGTGTCTTCATATAGGCGTGATTGTGATAAAGTTATTGTGAATAATTCGAAGGACTGAATTAAATCGTTAAAGTTATATTTCTAGCTTTCCGGCTTACAAGGGTTAAAATCCAGGATCGTTATTGTAATCAATTTTTTCGCACGATAATATTAAATTTTTTATTAATAATTTTTAAACTTCCTTTCGATGCTTCGTACGATTCATTCATTTTTATTTTTTAAAACATATGAAAGCGATAGTTTGCTATTTTTTACAAAATTTTAAAAGCAAATATTTAATTAAACTCAAATAAACTTCGTTAAACTCGAGGGAGAACTCAATTTTTAATAGTGTACTTAATATTAAATTATCTGCAATTTTGATGTGTGTCAATATTCCTATTGTTTTGTTACACAAAAATATAATGATGAAATTGATTTAAGATCTTCAATACATTTGTGTATCTACAGAATTCTTCGGAAGCATGTTGTGAAACAAGTGGTAATCATGCGGTTTTCTATAGAACCTTTCCTTGCAGAATCAACAATATGGATAAATACATAAATAAGGACGTTACGAACCTTTTTTTCTAATATCATGGAAAAATCAATCAATCATACAACAAACAGCAGCAATAACAAGAATGACGTGATGGAATTGATTCCTTTTAATAAATTCAAAGATATAAAATTTCGCTTAGAAAATGACTTTAGTAAAATTTATGAAGCTACTTGTATAGATTGTCATATTTTGGATTGGGATGATAACGAATGGAATTTTGAACAAAGCGGTACTAAGCAAGTTGTTTTTAAAATGCTCAATAATTCAGAAAATATCACTTTTAAAGAGTTAAATAAGGTATGATTTATTTAGTTACAGCATATTATAGAAAAATCAATTTTATTAATACATTTTAAATATATAGCAAATTAATCGCCAAATGTGTTATCGAATAACTCAAGAACCTGTAACAATGAATTTTATAATAATTACAGATAAATTAATCAAGTGGAACGATTATATACAATATAATACAATATATAATAGATCACCTGTTATTTAAAAGTAAAAATAAAAATGGTAGATAATTTTATTAGAAATAAACAAATTAAACAAATCAAGAGATTGGCGAAGGCGTCTAGTTACCGTATTCCCAATAATGTGATGGAGTTTATTCCCTATGATCATTTTAAAGATATAAAATTTCGTTTAGAAAATGATTTTAATAAAATTTATGAAGCTACTTGGATAGATGGTCAAATTTTGAATTGGAATGATAAAAAATGGAATTTTAATCGAAGTGGTACTAGGCAAGTTGTTTTTATAAGACTCAATAATTCAAAAAATATCACTTATTAAGATTTAAATAAGGTATGTATTTATTTTACTATTGTAAGAAAAATAAACTTTATTAATATATTTTTAAAATTATAGCAAATTAATAGCCAAAAGTGTTATGGAATAACTCAAGAAACTTTTACGATGGATTTTATAATAGTTACAAATAGATTTATCAACTTGGATGATTATAAACAATATATAATAGATCACCTGTTAATTAAAAGCAAAAATAAAGTTGTAGATAATTTTATTAGAGATAAACAAATTGAACAAATCAATAGTATAGCATCTAATTCTAATTATTTTATTAATAATAATATGATGGAGTTTATTCCTTATGATCAGTTTAAAGATATAAAGTTTCGTTTAGAAAATGATTTTAATAAAGTTTATGAAGCTACCTGGATAAATGGTCATATTTTGGATTGGGATGATAAAAAATGTAATTTTAATCAAAGTGGTATTTGGCAAGTGGTTTTTATAAGGCTCAAAAATTCAGAAAATATTAGTTTTGAAGAGTTAAATAAGGTATGATTTATTTAGTTATAGTATATTTTAGAAAAATCAATTTTATTAATACTTTTTTAAAAATATAGCAAATTAATATCCAAAAGTGTTATGGAATAACTCAAGAACCTGTCACAATGGATTTTGTAATGATTACAGATAAATTAACTAATTGGAAAGATTATATGCATCACCTATTATATAAAAGTTGCAAAAATTTAGTTGTCGATGAATTTATCAAATATACACAAATTAATTCAGAATTTTATGAGAAAATGGAATTTATTCCTTATAAACAATTTAAAAGTATCGAATTTTTTACTGAAGGTGGATTTAGTAAAATTTATAAAGCTACTTGGATTGATGGTAATATTATAAGATCGGATGAGAAAAATTTATTTTATCGAAATGGTTTAAAACAAATCGTTCTTAAAGAACTTATCAAATCAAAAAACATCACCTTTGAAAATCTCAATGAGGTATGACTTAATTAATTATTTATCTTAACCTAACAAACAAAGATATTTATTAATAGAGATTTTTTTAACTCAGCTTAAAATTATTCATGATTATAATATGTCATTGAAAAAAAAAACATATTCTTATGGGCCTTATATAAATAAATGTTACGGAATTACTCAAAATCCATTTTCAAAAAATTTTATGGTGGTTATAGATTATTATGAATTAGGAGATTTAAAACATTATCTATCAAATAATTTTGATAACCTAAACTGGAAAGATAAATTGACTTTGTTGATATCTATTATAAATGGGCTTAATGATATTCATAGTTCAAAAATTATTCATCGGGATTTTCATAGTGGAAATCTTCTTATAAAAGCCATGTCAGCAATAATATGTGACTTAGGGTTAAGCAAATCTGCAACCGATTTAGCGGACAATGGTAATGAAATTGAAATTTATGGCGTCATTCCTTATGTTGCACCAGAAATATTTAATGGAAATAGATATACTGAGGCTTCAGATGTTTATAGCTTTGGTATGATTATGTGGGAGTTTATGACAGGTAGAAGACCCTTTTGGGATAGGGTTCATGATACAGAACTAATTATTGAAATTTATGATGGTCAGCGTCCTCCAATTACATCTGCTCCTGAAGGTTATATTAAATTAATGCAAGAATGCTGGGATTCTAATCCAAATAAAAGACCAGTAGCCATCGATATAAAAAGAACTTTACATAATATATGGAATTTTGAATATAATAATCCAACAGAAATTATTAAATCACCAGATATTGGGCCCAAAACGCATATACCGGGAGCAATATATTCAAGTAGGCTTTTAAGTGGCATGATAAAGTCTGCAGTATCAATTAGGAGTTTAAGAAGTCAACCTACCACTTCATTATTAGGTAATACAGTATTGATTTATTATTTACTAATTAATATCTATCGATGGTGATAATATTAATAATTATTTCTTTTGAAGATAAAAGAAGGAAAGATGATGATTTGATAGAGAAAGATAAAATTCATAAGAAGTTTAAATTATCTGGAGACGAAATTAATGAAATAAATGGTAAATTCTCACATTAAATACCTTTTAATTTATAATTTAATTTAATCAAATAATTTCTTTTTAGGTTATAAATCAAAAGAACTTGATTTCGATATTTAATTTTTAATCTTAAATATTTATTATATCTACCAAATTTTTTTATTTACTTAATATGTTAAAAAAAATAATAATAAAATATACGATCAGTATTGTTACATTTAATAATTATATGTATTACTTGTATCGAAAGACATATTGATTTTTTTAAATAAACATTTATTATTAGTTTTTTTTTATTTTATTAGTTTATTAGCATTTATTATTATTTTACATTTTATTTT